CTTTTGTCTCATCCTTCAAAAGAGACATTCGTCTAGGAAAATCTTGGTATCCTGAAAAAAACCTTTACAAGTTAATTCTTTACCATTATTTATTAAAAAAAAAAACAAAAAAAAAAAAAAAAAAAAAAAAAAAAAAAAATCGCAGCAAAAATCGCGGCTTAAGGGAAACCGATTTTTTGCTCATCTTAATTTAATTATTAGTTTGCTTACGAGTTTTGAAGTGACCTCTTCGGAAGTGATAAAGAAGCGATATATTATCTGGCGCATTCTCAGCTGATATTCTTCCAAATTCAAGATTTATTCTTCACCAGGAAGCTAATAGATTCAGTCGTATTTTGTCTGTACGAATATCAGCTTTATTATCCTGAGAAAATAACTTTAATATGGACATTAATAACAGTTTGAAGTTGCAATTTGTCATGAAAAGAGAAATTCGACAATTTTACAATTTGACTCAATACATTTTTGAAGTTTTCTTTTGTATTTGCTTTTCTTTTTGTTTCTTTAGTTTCCTCTCCTGTCCTCTCGTTTCGTTTCGTTTTTTTGGTTCCTTTTACTTATTCTAACTCCAAATCTAACACGTTATCTGATCTTTCTTTCAGTTAGTGACGACGACTTCTTAGAACAAGATGGGAAACGTCACGCGTATCCCGCTGAATGAAACAGGCAACGGCACAAACATTGTTCGCCAAACACCTCAAGTTATTGACCGTGTTCCATCCTTTAGACCAGGCCAAACCTTAACAGCCGTCGCTATCCAACTAGGGTTTGCCCTCGCCTTAATTGTTGCAGCGCTAACGATTAACATAATGATGGCGATTGTACTGAATAAAAAGTTCATGGGCATACCTTATATGATGCTGAAAAATATCGTAGCTGTAGATATAGCAACAGCGCTGCTCAATGGACCGTTCTTTGCGCTTGGCGTCATTCTTGATAGTATGGGGATTATTATAAAATCCTACTGCAATGTTCAAGGGTTCTTCCATGCCAGCCTCAGTGCAGTCTTCCTTAATACTGTGACGTTGATTGCTGTTAGTAGATGCTTGGCTGTACTCAAACCACAGCTGTATCACAAGATCTTTGTGAACAAGGTATGGTAGATAATGGTAGATAAAAGAAAGAAGGAAGGAAGGAAGGAAGGATGGATGGATGGATGGATGGATGGATGGATGGATGGATGGAAGGAAGGAAGGAAGGAAGGAAGGAAGGAAGAAAGGAAGGAAGGGATTGGTCGTGTTTTATCGCCAGCAGTAAAGAGTATTTAGTGTGTAATTTATATATTTTCCAGATCACAATGCATATCCTTCTTCTCGCTGTGTGGAGTAGCAGTAGTCTTCTGTGTGTGCCTCCACTGAACACAAAAGGATGGGGGAAATACGATAGATTCGAAGCGACATGCTGGATGGCCTGGATCCCAGAGAACGACGACTACATTGCGTACAACTCCCTGCTGACCATACTGACACTTGGAACGGCTGTGGTTTCGTGTTCTTTCGGCCTGTACTTTCTTTATTCCATCAGGAAAGTTGGTTCCGTCACTCCAGCTCAGGTATCTAATCTATATCTATAGATATATTTTCCAAGCTAGACGTGGCCGGTGTAAAGCGCGCCCCCTTTTCGAATTTCACCATACTACTACATGAGCCGTTGCGCTAGAGTGCACGCACTAAATCCGTGAACATTAATTAGTACTAATTAGTACTATTTCATACAGAATCCTTTGTTTCATATTGTTTATTTATCACCATTTAGTACTAAAAGTTAGTATTTGTTTCACGAGTTTAGTGCGTGCACTCTATCATCAAGCAAAGTTATTTTCCCCTAAATTGATTTCTAGCCGATTTAATCTTTTGTTCCGTAAAAAAATACTAAAAAACTGAACCTTGATTTTGATTCCAAGCTCAAAGAAAAGGCATATCTTGAAATTTCAAAGTTGTTTAGATCTCTGGTTTTTTATATTTAGGGTGTAAACGTTTACACTAGCGATTTTTGCGGCGATTTTTGCGGCGATTTTTGCTGCGATTTTTGTGGCAATTTTCGGAAATATGAAATCTTTTGTCTCATCCTTCAAAAGAGACATTCGTCTAGGAAAATCTTGGTATCCTGAAAAAAACTTTACAAGTAAATTCTTTACCATTATTTATTATGGACAAAACCGGGGGAAAAAAAAAAAAAAAAAAATCGCCGCAAAAATCGCTAGTGTGAACGGGGCTTTACGGTTTTATAACTTTGACAATTTTCGTTCGAAAAGTTTGACCTTTGAATCGATGCATTTTCATTGCATTTGTTTGCCATCCTGAATTTTTTAATATTATCTTTTTCAGACAGCAACAGCTCCCCCACCCTACCCTGGGACAGCAAACATGTCTGTGCCTGAAAAAACATCACAGAAGAAGGTCCGCCTCAACACAGATGTATTCATCATCGCAAGCACTCAGTTTGCTGTCTATATTGTCCTGTGGGTACCCCTGACCGTCATGAACTCCATCTACCTTAAAGACTGGAGAGACATCGAGTTTAGAGTGATCACATTCTTTCTGTTTGTGTTCATGGGACGCACCATTATCAACCCGATCTTGTGTTTGGTCGTAAGTGCAGATATTCGTAGAGAGTTTGCTAAAACGATATTTCGATGTCGTTGTAAAAGAGACAATGAGACTAGCGAGCAGGAGTTATAAAAAGAAGCGAGGAGGGGGAGGGAGGGGGGAGGGGAGGTCAGTGTGAGGAATGGTAAAAAACATATTTCACAACCATCACTCCAATACGGGGCTCTTCCGTGAGGCTCGCCCCACATGCACTACCACTACATTCTATGTTTACAACATACAACACTCAACTCACATGTTGATTTTTACGGAGGGAGGAAACCGGAGAACCCGGAGAAAACCCTCGTAGCATAGGAGAGAACAACACATCAAACAAACTCAACTCACATATGAGGATCAGCAGGGAATCGAACCCAGACCCATGTTGTAAACTACACAGAGTTGAGAGACAGCAAGAAGAATAGTAGAAGAAGTATAGTGTAGTCAAGCCAAGAACAGCATCATCTTTGGTTCGTTACGGTGGCAGCTTTTTTTCTGTTGAAAATATCGCTTGAAAACAACTATTGATTGATCCCCCGCTAAGGCGCTCGGGGGCATCGAAGAATGATCTTCATAATAACGATAGTTTCCAAGTACAGTAGGATATCTTTAGATCTAGACAGCATGAAGTCTCCTCTACAGCGGTCGAGGTAGCGCCCTTAAATATTGGTCCTTAAATATTACATCGTTAAATGAGAGAAGAAAAGCCGAAATGTGAAGAGGATAAGGTCCGAAAAATAATGCTTGTGGTACTCCAAACCACATTTGCATTTCTTGTACATAATTCATTTTCTTAATACATTATGCCATGATTTAAATTATTTTACCTTTTTATTTATTTATTATTTCGCAAAAAGATATTCTGTGGAATCTTAGTATTGAAGGCGTTAAAAGTCTTTCTAGTGCTGTACCCTTCTGAATCTATCCGGCCTTTTTTTCTGTCAAGAACTGAGCGCTTGAAGTGTCATTTTTATCTTAACCTCTTTTGGAAACCCATTCTCTGTCGAAAGCCTTTCAGTGGTAAGAAATTTTCCTGATTATAGGAAGCCATTTCAGTGTTAAAACAGTTTGGAAAGCCCTTATCGTAACGGAAGACTTTTTGAAATAGTTTCTTTTCTGTCTAAGAAGAGCTACAAGAACCATTAGTGTATGAAAAATTCTTTATTCAAAGTTTATGGAAAATCCTTTCTTTTCATCTGTCGAAAGATTTCACTGTTTGGCAGCAAAAGCCATTTCATAGTTTTACGGCAAAAGCCATTTCACTGTAAAGCCATTTCAGTGTTTGCGACAAAAGCCATTTCACTGTTTTACGGCAAAAGCCATTTCACTGTTTGCAACAAAAGCCATTTCACGCTTTGTCGGCAATGAGTGTTTGAAATATTCATCTCTGTAAAACTTTTCCTTTTTTTAAGAAAACCCTTATTGTGCCCAAAATTCAAATCGAAAAATCAATGTATTTCATTTCTCACAACTTGTAAATACTAAAAAAATTTAAGACTATAACGACAGCTTTTGGTATCGACAGTAGCGCTCAAGATAAAAGATCATATTACTAAGCCGGTCACCAGCAAAACATATAACAGATAATAATCAGTAATAAAAGATTATTGCGAATAACTTAGTTAGTTCAGATCGACAAATACACGCTTAATAATTCTTTATAGAGGCGATATGTAGCCTCGTCAATAGATAAAGAGTTTTTGACAAGGAAGGTTGCTCGGCATATATCGTGATATTTTGGCCATTTTTACACGTAAAAGTGCCGACATAACTACTTGTTGTATAAATTACGGCTCTACTGCTTCATCTTCGGACCATTTTAATATAAAATTTGCTTTTTCTAACTGTTTGATGTGCAGCCAACAAAAATATGTATCTATACATAGGACAGACTTTTTTCTTACTAGCATGGATTAAAACTAAAGCGCAACTGTCAGGGATCGCTTATGGTTTATAGGAGAGGAAAGATGAGCGAGAAAAAAAAAAGGTAAAGCTTTTCTCGTTACTTATTCAAAGCTGAAATTTTCCAATAGGTATCGGAGTTGATAGAAATACAACGGTAAAGGATGCTATATAGCCTGTGTCTACAGTATTAGATGCATGTATTCATTTTCAAGCCTTGGTTTCCATTTAGACCGTGTTTTACGATGTCTCATCTGTTCTACCGTGCTTGACTGTTTTTGGTACGAGGAAATTACTGAAATTCCCAATAAAGGCATGGAAAAAATATGTGGGGGAAAGTAAGAGAGAAAAGATGAGAAAATTGAAAAAACAAACGCATAAAACAAATCGAATGAAAACGATAAAAAGTATGGAACCATGGGCTGAGATGATGAAGATAATTCGAAAAAAATAGTGTCTTTTGCAGCTGTTTTGTCAATTAAAAGAAATATATATATTTGTGTGACCGCAATAAATAAAAGCGGTATTTGAATTAACCCTGAAACATTAATAGAAAACTATTGTAGTATTAAGTAAATAGCTTACTTAAGGTTATAAATCCATGGAAATGTCATGGAAGAGTTCTAATGTACAAATACTATGTAATCAATTTTATCTTAAAAAGAAATAAAAGTGTTGCCCAAAGCTAGTGCCTTGTCAGCTTGATGTAAAATAATAGAACTTGTTTTTGTTCATCCCAAGTTCTTGACAGTCTTTTTCTTCTTCTTTTTGACGGGAAAATGAATGGAAGTGTCCACATCAAGTGCTTACGCAACTATCTTTAAGAAGTAATGAACGCCCTCATACTTATCAAAGCACCATTTGAATGGTTTATTGTACGCTTTTAGTTCAACCTTTGTAATCTAGCGAAATGGCCTTGGGATGGTTTTCGTGTACGTGCGTGAAAATGCGTCAAGTGGGATAGTGAAAAGCGCACGTAATTCGTTGCGTGAGCAGTGGCCTAAACAATTACTAGCATACTACTAGCATTAAGAAAAGAATGAGATCGTTGTCTTGAACTCTTGTCCGCTCAACAAGCACAGAAAAATCAACTCGAAATGATGATTTTGTAAAATTGGCATGTATATTTTTGATTCGAAAACTACGATTATGTACCGAACAATTTGGTTGTCTGCGATGCCAGATACATTTTATAGTAGTCCCAATATCTCACCCCTGGGTATCTTAATGTTAGATTAGTTCGATAGACGCTAGACTGGTGTGTTTTATATTTCGTTGACATAAGGATAGATATCAACGTGTGAGGCGTTTCTGACTTTTAAGGCCTTTACTTTGAATAAAAGAAAAGGAGGCTCAAAGAAACTACAATTGGCCTAATTTATTTTTTCATTGAGGTTTCCCCCTTATCTTGTTCCACTTCAAACAACTTGAAAATATTCTTTCTGATGCCAGAGTAATACGTTTTAACAAGAGTAATGAGAAAGAAAGAAAGAAAGAAAGAAAGAAAGAAAGAAAGAAAGAAAGAAAGAAAGAAAGAAAGAAA